AATTATTTTCATTATTTTATTTCACTGGTAAAGATTACAGAAAAACTAACATACTAACAAGCATCATTACCACACAGAAACAGAAAAGTTTAATTTTAATTTATCCAAAAAAACGACACATTCTTAATCTACATCTAAATCTGAACCAGGAACTTTTCCATGGGGTAAGCAAGAAACAAACAAAAAGGGTCTCAACAGAAAAAACAAAGCCAGTTTTATCAAGATCCATATTTAATATTAAACTAGATTTTACTTGTTGACAAAAATTTTCAAAAAAAATAAAATATTTTCATGGAAAAGTATCTGTTTCCCGCAGTCTACACAATACAACCATGTGACAGTGTAAAGTGTAAGTTTTAATTATATTTAGATCTTTAAAAATATATCATGTTATTTTAAACAGACTCGAATACATTTACAGGAGATTAACACAATTAAGAAATAGTTTTAAAAAATAAGATTTAGTTGTAAAATTCAAAATATTCAAAATTTATAGGAAATTTTTGTAGATAACCTAAATAATTCCAATAAAAGTAATCTTTTTTTTGCCGAATCAATTTCTAAATTTGATGGAATTATATCACAAAATGAGTCTGCGTTAAAATAACATGCCGTATTATATTGCGTGAGTGATTAAAATTATATTCTCAGCATTTAAGCTTCTTAATACAGAAGACAACATTTAAAACATCAAAGCAATCTTTTTTACAAGCTTCATGCAATTTTACCGAAATAAGGAAATAACGAAATTAACCGTTTTTTATTTAGTTAACGTTTTTAAACGTAAATTTTTTTCAAAAACGGCTAATCCGTTTCGATTACAATTTAAAAATTAACGGTTTTTGCCGTTCCTTAGCAGACTTAAACGTTAATTTTCGAAAACCTCTGGTCCGTTAGCAAAACTTTGCTTAGCCCTGCTACACGAGGATATATTACTTCTCACACTGTAATCAAAGCGGAGTCTAATCCAACTAATGTGTATTTGGATATCTATGTTACAGATAAAGTTTACAAGATTAGCGCGGATATATATAAGCGTAGTTAAGCCAGTCACTCACGTAGTTATATCTTAATCACAATACAGTTACAGATGTAGCTAGGCTAGGTAAATCGCATTACAAGTTTGCGTTATAATAGTTAATGATAAGCGCATTTGGATTTACAGACAATGTACATGCAATATATCTAGGTATGTTCAGGTTAACAAATATGGGGATTGCTGTATATTTATTACATGTCTAGTCGATCCCTTACCTATATATTTATAATCTAATGCATTTTAGGTCGGAAACATGTTATGTAAGAAAACACTTCCTTTTCCTATAGGTCAGTTTGTCAGGAACCAAACTTTAAATTTCGTCCTAACTGTAAACGGAAATTTCCTTAATGAGGAGTTTTTGCTCTGGTAGAATATGGGTCCTTTTTGGGTCCTTGTCCCATAAACTTTTTACTCCTTTCTTCTTGACACTAAATGCAGACCTTTTTCTTTTAGAAATCGGGGGGGGGGGGGAAGAGAGGATAGAGGATACCAACCAAAAATAGAAAAATTTCTATTTAGACCCAGTCAAAGAAGTCATTGCAATGGTTTTTATAGTTACAGCATGCAGTCAAAATTGTGAAAATTGTTTTTTTTTCATCTTTGGTGTGATAAGATAAAGAATATGCTGTTGGTATAAGGCTTGTACAGGAAAAAAGGAAACGTCTAATTTCAATAGCTTTCAGGTATCTTTGTTTTAACCCTTAACAGGAGAGGGCATTTGGCGCCCACAAATGATATAGGAATGGTAAAAGAGTAAAGACATTTTCCATTCAATTTGATTTTAATTTACTTCTTGCCGATATGGAAACAGACACACGGCTTTTAAACTTTTTTGTTTGTGTTTTAATGTGTATAGCTTAGGTATTTTGTAGCACTCTGAACTAAAAATACTTTTCAATATGTGTTTTTTTTGTATCTTATTTTTTTTGGAACACTCTGAACTAAAAATACTTTTCAATATGTCTTTGTTTTATCTTATTTATTTTGGAACACGGTGCTGAATTATACAGTCGCGTGTCCCAGTAGACCTGGGGTTCTAGCTTCGAGCTATAGCTTAATGTGAAGTGTGCAAGAAATTGAACAAAAACTAAACCTTCTTTTATTCCTCCATATTACCTTGGTTCAACCCTTCCTTTAATCCCTCCCCTTGGCCTGGGTATATTCATATTTTTTCTAAACTTTCTCTTGGTATATGGCTTATAGAAAAAAGTTGAAATGTGCAGTTGAAAGGAATTGAGTTTTAGTCACAAACTCGGATTTTCTAATCCCTATTTCTTTCCAACCCAATGCCGTGTACCTTAGATATTTCAAACTGTGAATTCTGTTGGCTAAGATGATCAAAGTTTGAAAATTAAATTAGTTAATATGAAAAAAATCCTAGTTGTTAAAATATTAAAACAAAGATCTTCCTACTTCAATTTTAACTACTTGACCTTTCGGTGTATGTTATATACCCAACATCCACTGTATGGGTATTTTCAACATGAGGGAATTATCCACATGTGAACATTCATAAACTCATTATTAAACAGAGCAGTTAAATATGTTTAATAATTATTTAATTGTGAACATAACATTTAATATTTCAGAAGTATGTAACTATTCATTCAAATATTCCTCTACTTTTGTGGGTACCTTTTTCAGCTAATGTAAATAAGTTTTATTATTATCAAAATTCAATTTTATTGCTCATTGTTTAAATATAATTCATTGCTAAGAACCAAGCAAACTCTTTCATGTTACGATATAGCCCGCCTCTCCTAGCTTAAACTTTTTGGCTAAACTGCCTCAAACTCTAACTATCAGTAGATCTCAACTCTCTCAACTGATGTATGGCTAAATACCTCAAACTCTAATAATCAGCCTACCCGGGTTGATCACTTCTGTACAGAACAACAGATTGTATTCAAATAATTTATTTACAGACATGATTATACAGACTGTGGTATTCATATCTAAGTTTGCTACTACTACTCTGAGATATTTTAAACCATTTTATGTAACACAATATATTTCACATTTAAGTTGTTGCTCATTTTTATTTTAAATCCATTAAATTTTATTGCTCATTGTTTATATATATAATGCATAGCTAAGAACCAAGCAAACTCTTTCATATCTAAGTTTGCTAAAGTCTACTTTGCGATATTTTAAACCATTTTATGTAACACAATATATTTCACATTTAAGTTGTTGCTCATTTTTATTTTAAATCCATTAAATTTTATTGCTCAATGTTTATATATATAATTTATTGCTAAGAACCAAGCAAACTCTTTCATATCTAAGTTTGCTAAAGTCTACTTTGCGATATTTTAAACCATTTTATGAAACACAATTTTGTCAACCATTAACTACAAGACTCCCACGCCCATCCATGTAATGTTGTCTTAAAATCCCCTCTTGGAGACACCAAACCAAATAATCTTTAGCCCCATTTTCTTTGTTCTCTGGTAACGGAGTCTAAACACTATTATTATTTAAACAGAATATTTTCATATAAAGAATTAGTGACTTTCGTTAACAATTAATTGTCATTCTTTTCAGAAGTTTTAATATATAAAAACGTCTTAGGACTCCCCGACAGTTTTAACCTTCATATCAATTATTAGATCGTAAGAATCTTTTCATTATAAAATTATAAAACTTTGTAATAATTTATATGTTATTATCCATTTCATTTTTTAGGAAATAAAGAGTTTCTCTGCATTATCGATTTCGATTTGTGGGTTATCCTGTTGTATTACTGTTCATTATTGAGAATCTTGCTGCTATTCGACAACAAATTTATTTCATATCTAAATTGCTATAAATGTTTACCATGTAATCTACTGTATTTGTTGGCAGGTTTTAACGTCTGAGAATAAATGTTTAAAACTTACTGAAGTATTATATAGAAATAAACGTAATCAATACATTTATAAGAATTTATATGTATTTTAAAGATAGAATTCAGTTTATTACACAATTTCGCGTAAAAAAGGTCTTAAGTGCGCAAAACTATACATTCTTTCATGTACATAATTACCGCGTAATTTTGTGTAATGCTCATGCGTAAGTAAAAGAAATCATTTTAGAAATCATTTTAGAAATCATTTCCTTAGATAAACAATACAGTTTAACAGTTTTTATCAACTCTTATCTTTTTATGCACATAGAAGCAAATAGATCAGATAAACCACCATTTTGCATCATCTATGAACAACTTATTTTTTATTCCCATAATACTATTGTTAAGGTTGTTAACCCTAAGCAGGCTGGGCTGGGGGAGGGGCGTTTTTGCCTTCCCCCCTTTATTTTTTTGTCCTATCACTCTCATTAAGCCCATGACAATTCTTTACTTTTAAGGAATAGTAATTTATTTATCTATTTTTTTACAATGAACTGGCCTTAAAAAATTGGGATATAAACAAGCATTGCAACCCTATAAATTTACTCTAAGGCCTCTTTCTAGGCCCCGCTATACATAGATTCAGAGCCTTTAAAGGGTTAAGTTTGTTAAGTAGCTCCTGGACTTCTTGTTATTCAATGTTTAAAGTATGGTCGGTGAATATGTTCATAAATAAGATTAGAGTTTTTCCTTGATAAATAGAAATAAATTTATTTCATAACTAAACGAAATAATTTCATACAATTTCTTGAGATAAGCTTGGTAAACTGTTATCAGAACAGATTCGAGAAAACAGTTCTTACACTTCTTCAGAGATATCACCAATCCAGAGCTAAGTGAATTGTGTACGATTGTAGAAACTATAGGGCCCAATGCAAATGGTAAACTTTCCTTTCACAGCACAAGGCATGAAGTATCATTTTAAAAAGTGCATCTTTGAATATTGGAAATTATGATTTTGTTGATTAAAACAATTTTTTAATTTGCATTCAGTGTGTCCCAATAAAAGTGTTCTTGGGCATTAGTTTATGGTGTTCTTTTAATCACTCACTAAAAAATCTTACTATTTACTTCAATTTCAGAGCTTAAAAATGGGAAGTGGTCCATCTCAATTGGACTATGCTAAGCAAGACCATCAACAGAAGATGGATCTTTCAGATAGAGATGATAAAAGGAGAAGAGAAGAAAAGCAGGAGAAAAGAGAAGAAGAAATAATGGCGAAGGCAGAAGCAGAACGAGAGGAAATTAGAACTATAAACAAAGAAAAGATTGAGCTGGAAAAACAAAGGTTGAGACTAGAAGAAATAGAAGTAAAAAACAAGTCAAATACACTGTATGAGCTTGAAGCTAAGAAGCTTGAGGATGCAAGGATTGCTGTCAAAGAGCAACGAGAACATGAGATTGCCATGAAAGAAAAGGAGAATGAAGTTGAGTTGGAGAAATTTAGGTTTCAAGAACAGGAGAAAGAACAAGAAAAGAAAATCAGCATGGAACTGGAGAAGTTCAAGACAGAACAAGAATTTGCTTTCAAGGAAAAACAGCTGGACACTGAGCAAAAAATAGCAATAGCTAAAGGAACACACCAGGTAGAGATAGAAAAAAGGAAAATCGAAAAAGAAGTCACCATGGCAAACCTGAGCGATGATCAGCTCAAAAGAAAAGACACCCTGGAGGAGAAAAAGTTGGAATTGCAGCAAAAGAAGAATGAGTTGGATTCCGAGGCAGCCAAGAGGCAGGATGATACAAAGCGATTTATCATTTTTCTATTGGTTGTGCTAGTTCTGGCTGCATGTGTGCTCTTCATCGTATATTCCTTTGTAATGAAAGATTCTAATGTGTCTGAAGTTAGGGTGAGTTTTTAATCATATAATGATTCTCAAAACTGCAAAACAGTATGCACTAGAAAATGCTTTAGCATAAAGAAATAGGGGGAATTCTTTGTATCTTTTCAGTAAGTAAAATTTGTACAGAAAAAAAAAATCTAAAAATCATGATTACAGGTTGTTGTTCAAGTTGAAGCAGACAATGAGCATATTATGGGACTTCTGTCTACAAGCTCACAAAGGTTTAGCGACCAGCTCCAGAAGAATATAAAGCAGAAGATTATTCCAGCTCAGAAGAAGCTTGCTGGAAAAATCACAGAGGAATTTTAGTAAATGTTGTAAAAACAATGCACAACATTAATTATGAAGTTTTAAAGTAAAATTTTAAAAAATGAAAGCTCTGTGGCCGTGGGCATAGAACTTAAGTATTTTGTGTGTTAAAGGGAGTGTCTGGCTAGATATGGTAGTTGAGCTGAGAATACAGTATTGTAGAGAATATTTTTAGGATTCATTTGAGACCTATCAGACGTTATGATGGTTTTATGTTTGTTTAAAATTCAAAATTGATTGAGAATTTGCTTTTTAAAATTCTTCAATAACGACGACAAAAATGGGAAAAATTCTTTAGTAAACTAATTAGACTAATTTTTCATTATATTTTTGAATATCTTATTTTTTCTGAATTTTTTGAAGATTTCTTCAAATTCTTTAAATGTCGTCTTTTCAATAAAATTCCAGGAAATCTACGTATAAGAATTGATTTTTATTTTCTCAACATGTTCTTAAACATCAAATTAGTTTACTCTAGAATTTTTGTAAAAATTTTCGCATCGTCATTGAATAGATTTTAGAAACCCTATTCTCAATACCATTTCTCCAAAATGGAAAATCTATTAGGATTTTAAAGATTGAGTATGTGCTCTTGGTGAACAACAGGTCTCAAATGAATCCTAAAATATTTCTCTACAATACTGCATTATCAGCTCGACTACCATGTCTAGCCAGATGCTCCCTTTAAGTAGAAACATGTAAATTGTATTTAGTTTACTGCACAGAAAGACTTTTTCATTCTTGTAAAAATACTAATGGAAAACGTTATTAAACTGGTGCTGGTTTAGTTTATTTAGGAAAACTTTTAAGGAAACAGATTTAAAACTTGGTTTTAAAAGAAATATTTCAGACAATATGGGCTTGATCACTGGACTCAAGAAAGGATTTAGATTCGCTGGAAATGTTCTCACTTCTGTGTCAACCTTTTTCACGGAAGAGAATCCTTCCAGAGGAAGAAGTTTTAATCATAAATGGGATGGAGAAGAAGTTGAAGGAGAAGAAGAAGTTGTTGATATTGCTCGTTCTTTGATAGAAAAAGAAAAAGAATTGAGAGCTCTGAAAAATCACAATTCTCGCAGACTTGAAGAAGAGAGAATTCAACAAGAAGAAAGATCAAGAAACAGGGAGGAACTTGTAAAATTGAATAAGCAAAGAGAGGAACAAGACAAATTACAAATAGAGCAAATTCATTTACAGTTGGAAGCATTGAAGGTAGAACAAGAAGCAAAAAAAGAAGAGATAAGAAAAGCCCATGAGAAGGAAATAGAAAAGCTTAAGTTAGTCGAAGAAGAAAAGACTAAAAGGGAACAGATGCTTATAAATGTGGAGGCAGAACGCCAAGAAAAGGAGTTTGAATGGGAAAAGGAAAAGCTGGCTATAGAACACAAAACTAGGGAGGCCATTGCCAGGTTGGAAACTGAGAAAATGAAAATAGAAAATGACACAAAGCTAAAAATGGCAGACATAGAGCACAAGAAAAAAATGCAGGATACAAAAAATGAGTACGCCTTGGAGTTAAAGAAATTAAAAATGAAGGAGGAAATTGAGAAGGCCAGGATCAAGAACGAAGCAGATGAGAGAAGAAAAGCAGGAGAGATGAAACAAGAACAGCAAAGGATGGAAAACATGAGAAGAAAAGCTGAGGATGAAAAGCGTAAACATCGATCAGTCAGAAATTTTCTGATAATTGTCGGGGTTTTGATGTTAGCTGCAATGCTTCTCTTCTTCATCACCTTTACAGAACAAGGCATTCAGGTAAATTTTTTGTATTTTAGATTATTTAACACTTGCCTTATTGGGTCAACGGCAGGTACCTGATAAAGAATTGATTATTGAAGAAAAAACAGGTATCTACAGGGTGTCTCAATAAAACAGGGAATAAGGGTCTACAGACTGGATTTTCAAGATTGAGACCATAATTAATATCTTTATGCAATTTCTGATTGAACTATCTCAATTTTAGGCTTGTAGATCTAAAAATAACAATTTTATAGGCTCCTAATGTTTCCCATTGGAGCATGTAAAAGTATAAGATAATTTTGTACTTAATGTTAGGTTACAGTTTCTTACAATCTTAATTAACATTTTTTGACCATTTTATCTAACTTCAAAAATAGCCTGCAGACCCTCATACAAACTGAGATTATGTTTTTTTTAACCAAAGGAATTGAGTTTTTTCCACAACCTCAAAATTTCTAATTTCTATATCTCTGCAACCAGTGGGTTCAACCCTTTGATATTTCAAACTTAGATTATTTGATCTAACAGAATTAATAGTTTGAAATATCTAAGGTCTAGGACATCGGGTTGCCAAGATATAGGGATACGAATATTTGAGTTTGTGGCAAAAACTCAGTTCATTTACTTGCTCCAGGTGGAAACTTTAGGACCCTCTAAAATTGCCAATCGAAAATTGTATGTAGATATCAAAAATGGCTTCAATCTTAAAAATCCCATCACAAACGAGCCTGTAGACCCATATTCCCTGTTTTTGTTGGAGACACCCTATGCATAAAATAGTTAAAATCTATCCTTCATTTAGTTTCTAAGGAAAATACTCCAGAACCCTGAAGTTGAAAGGATAAAAAAGAAATACCGCCTGGGAAACAGGATGGATTTATAAATTAAAGGTAATATATGGAAAATATGTTAGTTTGTTAATCACAAAATTAAATAACCCTAATTTTTCAATTTCCTAAATGGGGTCGGCTTTTCTTGTGCATTCAAAATAGCAAGAGATATATATGTTATATGTCATGGATTATATTTGCAAAATAATAAGAGATAGCAAGAATATATGTTATATTTCATGGATCATATTTGCAAAATAACAAGAGATAGCAAGAATATATGTTATATTTCATGGATTATATTTGCAAAATAACAAGAGATAGCAAGAATATATGTTATATGTCATGAATTATATTTGCAAAATAACAAGAGATAGCAAGAATATATGTTATATGTCATGGATCATATTTGCAAAATTAGATTAACAAATGAATGCAGCAAACTATTTTGAAGATTGTACGTTTGATTGAATGACTTCTGCTTCTGATTATAAGTTATAAATTAATTTATAGTTTTTATATTACTAACAAGTATTATAAATGTTTAGGTGTTTGTCCTGAGGATTGATATTTGATTATATTGGAAACATAAGTGAAAAATTTAAACATTGTATATTAAAGTATATCAAATATGGGCTTAACTAATTCTTTTGCATTTTCAGTTTATGATTTAACATGTATGTAATTCATAATTTTAATTAGTTTTGCATTAAGATAAGGCATGTTATGTATTACAGTTATTTTTGTATCAAGTTCCTGCAACAAAATATAAAACTATTAAAAAATATGTTTTGTTAACAAACAATATTACTAAGTTCTTAATTATCCGATTAAAAAAGAAATTTCATTTTAAAGATTTGCATCATCTTTTGCATTAACACAATTACAATACTGATGATACTTGAAACAGATAATCTCCAGAATAAAGATGATTGTTTATCGAAAAACTTGCTCCCACACCAACCAGCATTGGCAAAACTTGATTATTTTTTAAAGGGTTGGGGCATTTTAGCACAGTTTTTGATGCCCCCCCCCCTGTTATAAAATAGTTGTGCCTATTCCTAGTAGTATGAAGAATATTCAAATAAGAGCTTATAGAGATACCCTTGCATAGGTTTGCAGATTTCACACACAGTTTTAACATAGTTAATATTGTATTGCCAAAATTTGAAAAATACCTAGTATTATTTATCCTACCAGCTTTGTTACTATATTGTGTTAATACCTAGTATTATTACCTACCAGCTTTGTTCACTAGTGTTAATACCTAGTGTTACCTTCCTACCAGCTTTGTTACTAGTGTTAATACCTAGTATTAATTACCTACCAGCTTTGTTACTAGTGTTAATACCTAGTATTAATTACCTACCAGCTTTGTTACTGGTGTTAATACCTAGTATTACCTACCTACCAGCTTTGTTACTAGTGTTAATACCTAGCATTACTTACCTACCAGCTTTGTTACTAGTGTTAATGCCTAGTATTACCTGCCTACCAGCTTTGTTACCAGTGTTAATACCTAGTATTACCTACCACCAGCTTTGTTACTAGTGTTAATACCTAGTATTACCTACCTACCAACTTTGTTACTAGTGTTAATACCTAGTATTATCTACCTACCAGCTTTGTTACTAGTGTTAATACCTAGTATTACCTACCTACCAGCTTTGTTACTAGTGTTAATACCTAGTGTTACCTACCTACCAGCTTTGTTAACTAGTGTTAATACCTAGTGTTACCTTCCTACCAGCTTTGTTACTAGTGTTAATACCTAGTATTAATTGCCTACCAGCTTTGTTACTGGTGTTAATACCTAGTATTACCTGCCTACCAGCTTTGTTACCAGTGTTAATACCTAGTATTACCTACCTACCAGCTTTGTTACTGGTGTTAATACCTAGTATTACTTACCTACCAGCTTTGTTTGATGCAAATACATGTACATTCCATATAGATAATTACAATGTAGACCTTATTCAAAAGTTGTTTTTAAATATCAACTAAGTTGATATCAGCTATAAAGATTCATTTGTCCTGATTCTAAACTTTTATATGAAACAATATGGAAATCAAGGCTTTATCCTGAGACACAAAAAAAACATAACCGCAAATGTCGAATTTTGACCAATGTAAAGTTAGTAAATTGCAGCTGCAATCAATTTCTATGGTATTTATCACAAAATGAACTTCATATATCTATGATATTCTTTGATGAACCGAGTAATTCCTCCCAGTTATAATGCTTTAATATCACCTTAGTACATATTTATCTGTATTTTATCCCAGCATACCATTTTTCTTTATTGTGAGAATAATTTTGTTTAACTTTGCTCCGAGTGGGTTGCCTTTATTCATAGCAAAGGAATATGCTGAGACAAAGATAGACATAGAATCCTAGGAGATTCCGAGATCAGAGGCACCCCTACCATGGCAATCGCAGACAACCCNTTTATTATAGTGATTTTGCAGGAAATGCGAAAACAATTTCCATTTTTAGGGGATTTTGTTTTTAAAACTATTTTAAGTTTTTATTCATCACTTTGATTTTTATCTTAAACGTCAACATTAATGTACAGGGTTATCAATAAAGAATGAGACTCTAAAGACCAAGTTCAAGTTCAAGTTATATAGAAATTTAATGACAATGGGCAATGGGCAAAGGAAAAACCCCGGTTACATCTGCAAGGAATAATTAAAACTTGCTGAAGAAAATGTTGAAGATAAAAATGGTTTTTTAGCTTATGTCACCCCTCAAAAAATTAAGCTAATTTGGTCCAACCATTTGGCCAGCTATATAACTAACGCCTAAAATATATATAAAAATATAATACTAGCTTGGGAACCCAGCAGCGCTTCCAAAGTTACTCCCGCCGTTTTGTTTTGTTTCTGCTGGAAAATAATATAACTGTACGACAAGTACTGTCTGCAAATTTTTTCAAACTTAATTGGACGAAATATTTTGTATATCCCTGTATTTGAAATCTCTAGTAATACAATTAATTGCTATTTCAAGAAATAGATTTCGCGAACACTCCCTTTAATACTCATCATTCATCGGTATCCTTCATTCCAACTTCATTCATCCTTTCTTGACCTTTTTTTTATTCTTTATTCATTATGCTTTAATTCTTCTTCTAGCTCACTTTTATCCATCATTAACCCCTTTCATATTTCCTTTATTCCCCATCCATCATTCATTTTTTTCATTCTTTATCCCTTATTCATTCTTCATTCTTCAGTCAATCTTCATTCTTCATTCATTCTTCATTCATTCTTCATTCATTCTTCATTCTTCATTCATTCTTCATTCATCATTCATTCTTCATTCTTCATTCATTCTTCATTCTTCATTCATTCTTCGTTATTCGTTCATTTTTCATTATTCATTCATTCTTCATTCATCAATCCATCCATCCTTCATTATTCATTCATCCTTCATTATTCATTCATTCTTCATTCTTCATTCATTCTTCATTCTTCATTCATTCTTCATCCTTCATTCATTCTTCATTATTCATTTATTCTTCATTATTCGTTCATTTTTCATTATTCATTCATTCTTCATTCTTCATTCATTCTTCATTATTCATTCATCCTTCATTATTCATTCATTCTTCCTTATCTAAAAAACTAATTAAGTTATAAACCTGGAAAAGGTGAAAAAGTTAAACTATGGGCGGGTGAATTGATATTAGCAGTAGGTATGTAAATGTAAGGTTTCTATGGAATGCCAAACCTTTCACCATACGCAAAAAGTCGAGAAGAGGTTTTGTGATCATTTGATTGAATAAAAGACGACTTTCAAAGTCTTCAGTTTGCAAATTCAAAATAATGATGATGATGGTATTAATAATAATGATAATAGTAATAATAATAATAATAATAATAACAATAATAATTATAATAAACATAATAGTGAAAATAATAACAATAATTGTAAAAAATTATTTAATAATTGTACAAACAAATAAGTTTTAAGAAATACTGTACATAAAGTGTAAAAATCATATTCAGCATTTCTGCATTTCTAAGTAAAGACTAATATTAGCGACGAAATAGGGTTAGATTTTGTTCACGGATATATAATAAAATGGATGGATCATAGACGAGTTTCGATGTAATTTTCTGGGTGGGGTGTTATGCAGTACATTGAAGTTCTAGCAGACAATGGACCCTGGACCAGCTCTTGCATAATTCCTTTCTTATTTAGCCAAACAGTTATATTCCACTGAATTTTAGAAGGTGCGGGGGATGGTTTGTTTAATTCCCTTGTGTAGTTTTCAATGTTTAAACTTTATTTCAAAGATAGCTTAATTATCGTTGCCCCCCGACATTTTTAAAGGCTTTAACTTAAATAATACTGAGGATTCAAAATAATAAATATATTATTGACTAAGAGTAAGAAGGTGGGGGGGGGGCAAAGCCCCTTCTACTAAGAATAACACTATAAATGCCACCCACCCTTGAAAGTTACGCAGGACTATACAGTATACAGTGGGAATGATTCATATTTTTTTCTTCAGCTTAATCCTATAAAGGCTGGGGGGGGGGCTGAATCTATGTATAGCCTTAGAGNATGGTCTGAGCATATCACACTCCATTTTTTCGGATTCCATGAGGAAGGTTGGCTTGTAAACCAACCTACTCTTAGGTATTTTTTCGGGAACGAAAAAAAGATTTTATCTTGACAAGTACTATTATTTTCACTTGATATTACACTGCAGTACCTCATGTTCATACATCACAGGGCCCACTGTTTATCAACACAGCTGTACAACTTTCCTACTCTATGGACCCTGAACTTTCCTTCAGATATTAATTCTTTGTAAACCAAAAAAATCTATTTTGAATAAAAATAAAAAATTGTATAAAAGAAACATTAAAAAAAAAACATAAATATGCCTCTAAAATAAACACAACAAATCTAGGGTCCGGTTTGCTATATCAGCTGGTAGGCCTATGGAAAAAATTACCAAAATAAAATTTGTACTGTGGCCGAGTTCAGTGTAGATAGATAGATAGAATCATATCTATAAGCGGGCCGTGATTTTGTTTACTATTATTCAAAATTAGAATATCGTTTCAAATATCATCATTTTTCATTGCTTACAGCCTACAGGAAGAAATATATATTTTGATATAAGCATTTAGACACAAATTCAGAAGCATATTTTTTAGCGTTAAAGTATTTGCATGAAAACGTAGAAACCAGTTTGAAATGTATCATTTATAGTGTACAGTCACACAGTGTACATATTTGTAAATGTGCAATATACAATGTATGTTAATGTACATTGTATGTTAAAGGGACTGTAAAGGAAAAATTAAAGGGGTTGTATCTGAAAATCAGGAGTGGATCGAGACCTATAAAAGTTCTATCTGATGTTCCTGTTTCGAGAAATTTTTTTATAATGTCGTATTCTCAACATATTTTAGATCAAATGCCGCGGAAAAACGAGTTTACTATATCAATTGCTGTCCTGCATTTTTCAGGGCTATTGATTTACCTTGAATTAAATATTAAAAGCAGTTTCTTTAGAATTATCAAAAAACTTATGACTCTACAATGATATTTGAATATATTTCCATAAATCGAATGGAAGCGGCAACATCTCAGTAGCTTTCCTTTTGTGTAGACCAATGATGAAGCACAACAGCTGTCATAAATTTTTAAATAAATTTCAAGACGACATTTCATGCGCTTTTGCTACGTATTCTTAAATGTGAGATGGGATGTAGGAGGTCACAAAGCGATACCAGTAATGTTGCATAAATTTTACCTTCTCC